AAAAATATTTTTATAATATAAGTATCGAAATTAATGTTAATTTTTTATTTTTTTATATAAATTAATATATAAAAAATATTTTTATAATATAAGTATCGAAATTAATGTTAATTTTTTATTTTTTTATATAAATTAATATATAAAAAATATGTTTAAGACATAAGCTAAGCAAACTGTTTTATTTTATTTTATTTTATTTTAAAATTCACAATTTTAAATATTTTAAGTATTGAATTGTCATTAAAAAGGTGGATTAGGGTGTAAATAGGAAAGAGAAACAAGAACAATGAAAATTAAATAAGGTGGCATGTTTTTTTTTTTTTTGGTGAAATTAATAAGGTGGCATGTTTACATCATTGAGCAGCGCTGTTGGTTCTCTTCAGTCTTCACTAAAGTCATCGCACTGGAAAATGATCATGATTGATGTGATGAGTTAATGACAACAATGATAGGTGGCATGTTTACATCATTGAGCAGCCCTTTCGGTTCTCTTCACTAAAGTAATCGCATTCGCACCGGTTCACATAACCACTTCTGTAGCCACCCCCAGCTATCATAGACCGGCCTCCCATTATACCCATAATTGTTACAATTTGTGAACGATGACTCGACGGTGGCAGCCATACCCAATCCCTTCCCAGTTTAAGCATATCCATCATCCCTTCATTTCCTTCTAGCAAGGAATTACGGTTGAACAAACAATCTAGGAAACAAAAACAATTGTCTTTCGAAAGGCTTTATGATTTTTAGAGTACCATAATTTGTGTAATTTGGTATTACTTATCTAGTGCGTATATAGAGAAAGAGGCATAAAGTATGGTAATGTGGGTCCAGAAAATACCACTTGAAGGCTTCGTAATTGAACAGAGCAAACTGACTTTTCATTTTGTGGTTTAAATTAAGTTTAAATGGAGAGAAGGTCCTTGAAATTAGTTTGCAGCTGCAATAGCAAAACTGAACAAAAATCCTATAAGCAGCGGTAATCTGAATAATCACATGCTTTAGCCAATTGGGATGTTTTATCAGTATCTCCCTCATATGTTAATTAGTAACATTTCCAAACCCCATAAGGGCACTACTACCTCTTTATCCATATGATCTTACGGGGTATTGAAGTCATTGTTTACACCCTCCAAAGCTTGCAGCACAACACAAGAATTGAATGAAGTATTCTTAACATGGGTTACTCACTTCAGAAAAATGAGAAAGAAAATACAATCACAAATCGTGCTGCTCTGAGCAACAGTAAAAATGTGAAGGGAAAAAAAAAAAAAAGTAAGTGTATGAGACAAACCCAGGCGTTCCGATCCGAAAGAGAGATGGCAATTTCACTCAATCTCCTACACAAGAAATTCTTCAAACATATAGGCGGTCTCTAACAATTCATAGTCAATGGTTTTCATGAAAGAAATGACTCATCTTTTTTGTATTTATTTTTTCTTGGATGGTCTTTCCATGAAAAGCATAACTGTGGATTTCCGCAATGTCTGAGCAACTACTCCCCTGAAAAGAATTAGAGGCTCATTTGAGTCATTTCATTCTCCCAGAATCGGATTGTAGATCAAAATGAAGCCTTCTGCAAGTAGATTGGCAATTCGGCAGTTGATTGGCTGTTAAGCCCACCCATATTGTTTGCTTTTCCAGCCTTGCCCATCCATTATGTACCCTCAAGTATAGTACGTGCCTCAAGTTGCATGTTATTATTTGAGAATAAAAGTTAGCCAGAAAAAATGCTAGCCTAGTGAAAAAATTTTGAGAACAAAGTTAGTTCCAAATGTAAGTACATTCTACAATATAAATTATAAAGTCTGCTTTCGTGTTAGGTTGACTAGATTAAATTCGATGTATTTTTTAAGGGGTTTTGTACCTAACATTGCTCTTAAAAAAACAAATGCATCATACACATGTAAAGACACAGTATATTACCTGATGGAACAAACAAGAGAGTAAGATGAGAGAGAGAGGTAGAGAGAGAGAAAGAAGAGGTGACCTTAGAACACGGGAAAGGAGGATGTCACAGAGCAGAGAGCATGGCAGATCTCCATGGAGAGATCAACAGAGGAGGACGACAACAGATGGAAAGCATGAATATCAGATTGATCAGAACAAGCTGCGAAGAAGGAGGCTAGGTGACTCGTGATTGGGGCTTGTATAAACAAGCAACACCCTATTTCTTCACTAATTTCCCAAAAGAGTGGACACAAGAAGATATGTGGAGGACCTTTTTGAAGTTTGGGAGGGTATTTGACATCTACAGCCCCCCGAGAAGAAGCAGAAACGGAAGTAGGTTCGGATTTGTAAGATTCTTGGGGATGAATGATAGAAAAAAGCTTGAAAGAAAGCTGGACAACATTTGGATTGAGGATCACAAATTATGGGTAAACTACCCAAGGTATAATGACATCCAGCAGAAGGGTAGGGAGATCATCCAGTAGAAGGGTAGGGAGATCAAAATAAGCCACGCAGCGGAGCCAAAAGCGTAGAGCAGATCCTATGCAGAAGTGGTGAAGGGATAGCAAACGACTAGACATGGAAAAGGGGAAGGAGGTAGGAGTAGGGAGGGTCATGCTATGGATAAAGAGCAGGACAGAAAAAATACCAGATTAGAAGATCAAATAATGGACAAAAAGAAGGTATGGGTAGAGAAAGGAAGGATGGATACCTGGGCTGGTCTAGAGTATAATACCAACAAAGAAGAATCCTCGTGGCTGGAGGGTTGTTATGTGGGAACGACTCACTCTGTAGAAATGGTTAGAAACTTGCAGGAAAAATTTTATATGGAAGGATATTTCACCTGCAGAGTTCGTGCAATGGAAGGAAGATTAGTGTTGATGGATTGTGAAGATAGAGAAGAGTTGAAAGACTTGGTAGAATCAGCATCAGAATGGCTGGGTCAGTGGTTCGAAAAGGTGTGTCCCTGGTCTCCGGAGTTGATAGCGAAAGAAAGATTCATATGGATTAGATGCCAAGGAGTGCCATTGAATGTTTGGGGCCACGACTTTTTTGCATCCATGGGGCGGTCATGGGGTAAGTTCATTTGTTTGGATGATAGCACAAGCCAAAGAAGGAGGTTTGACATAGCTAGATTCCTTATTTCAACCCCGATCATGAATACCATCTCAGTGTTGAGAGAAATCAAAATCAACGGGTCCCTGTACAAAATCAAGTTCTTAGAGGAGGAATTCACAAATAGTTTCTTCTCTTTAAAATAGGATTTTATTCCTCATTTTCAAAGCGAATCAAAAGAACATGAATCATGGTCATTGGAGAGTGAGTCTGAGGATTATGTGTGGGAAAAACCAGCAGAGAAAGAACAGGGGATCGGCAGACCAAAGGAACCCGAGCTTGAAGAAGATGACGTGGAAGGTAGCAGAAGAAAGTTAGGCGACAAGTCTCAATCACACGTGCAGGTTGAGGAGGAGGAGACAATGGAGAAGTTGCGGACAGCTTGGAGTGTTTTCAAATTTCAAACGGTAAACTGGACAGAAAAACAGAGGGGAGAGCAGCACAAGAGGCGGGGAATGAGGAAAGGTCAGGAAGTTCAAATGAAGGTAGGAAAAAGAGGCCGGGCTTCAAAAAGAAAATAGATTTGGGCCAAAGAAGGCAGCCCACAACATATGAGAACAGCCCAAACCAAGCCAAAATCATCAAGCATGGGGCCGGGCATGTGCAGAACACAACAAATCGAGGAAGTAAAGTCAACTTCTGTTAACAAAATAGAAAATTCGAGAAACAAGGGCTCTGCAACGAGAGGCAGTGAAGAGGAAAAGGAAGATCTCAGTGGGCAGGGCAAAGTAAGCAAAGAGAACTAGATGAAGAGGACAAAGTGGTGCAAAGAAGGCTTCCCGCAGCAAAGGAAGAAGAAAATTCGCCTATGCAGTTCGGTATACATCAAGGCCAGATCTGCAGAAGAAGGAATGCAGAGGAGAAAAAACTGAGGGAGGCAAAATATGAAATCAAAGGAGGGGAGGGCAGAGCCGAAGTTTATAGCAAGCCCAAATGGTGAAATTGCAGGAGACTCGATTAGAGACAGTGGGATCCAGAACTGTAATCGAGCTTTGAGAAAGCAACTGCAAACCCAGTTAGTGAAGGACATATGGGATTTAGCCAAAAGGTTGGGCGCCATAGCGGAGAATGATGAGGAGATATTGCAAAAAATTAATGAAATGGAGGGTAGAGATAAACGAAGCAGAGAAAACTTAGAGAGGCGAGCGGCAGAGGATGCAAAGAAGGTAAGCAATTTTTGTGATGATACTGATGTCCTTTAATATCAGAGGGCTTGGAGGGTTGGGGAAAAAAAGAAAAATTAGAGAAGTGGTAAAAAGAGGGAATAGAATTTTTAGCAATACAGGAGACGAAGATGGAGGTAGTTAACAAAAGTGTATGTAGAAGGATATGGGGAACCGATGAATTTGAATGGATTTTTAAACCATCAGAGGGTATGTCTGGAGGTTTATTGTGTATATGGAGTCGGAATGTGCTAAAAAGGACAGAGGTGATTGAAGGAAAAAATTTCATAGGAGTTTTTGGGGAATGGGGGGAGAACCGGGTGGGTGTCGACATTCTTAATATTTACTCTTCATGTCATTTAGAAGGAAAAAGAGCATTATGGAAGGAGTTGGTGAATCTGATTAATAGTAGAAAAGGTAATTGGTGCTTGGGGGGAGACTTCAACGCAGCAAGAAAAGTAGGGGACAGAGCAGGGTGTAGTGGAATGACAGGGGAAATGGTGGAGTTTGGTAGTTTTATCCAGGATGCTGGGCTGGTAGATTTACCCTTGGTGGGTAGGAAGTACACTTGGCACAGTGCTAATGGAAAACATAGAAGAAGAATAGATAGGTTCTTACTTTCAGATGAATGATTGAAGAATTGGAGCGATTTAAAATAGTGGGGTCTAGAAAGAATAGTATCTGACCATTGCCCCTTATTATTAAAGAATGAAAAGGTTGAGTGGGGGCCAAAACCTTTTAAATTCTTTGATGCTTTGCTAGAATATCCTGAGTGCAAACAGTTGATAAGGCAGGTGTGGAACTCAGATGCAGTGAGTGGATGGATGGGATTTAGACTCAAAGAGAAGCTGAAAAAAACCAAAAAAGCCCTGAAGGAATGGAGTGCAAATCACATGGCGGATGTGGACAAAAGAATAAGTGAAGCTGAAAAGAACATAGCAGAACTGGACAGGAAAGAAGAAAACAGCCAACTCACAGCAGGGGACATCGAACTAAGGAGAAGTAGCTTCCTTGCCCTATGGAAGAATTTGAGAATCAAAGAGAGCGTGCTGCAACAGAAATCAAGAAAGATGTGGTTGAAAGAAGGGGACGCAAACACAAAATTTTTCCACAGAAGTGTGAAGGGCAGATGGAGAAGAAACGAAATTAATAGCATCCAGATCAATGGGGAGCAATACAAAGGTGTGACAGAAATCAGAGAGGGCGTGTTAAGGTATTTTAAGGGGCTGTTTACAGAAGAAAAGTGGCAAAGACCAAAGCTTGACGGAATAAGCTTTAGACAACTAGATGAGAAGGATAATGATCTCTTGATGGCAAAATTCACTGAAGAAGATATTCAAAATGCAGTATGGGATTGTGACTCGACAAAGTCTCCGAGCCCGGATGGTTTCAACTTCAAGTTCATAAAGACAATGTGAGAGGAAATAAAGAAGGATGTCATAGGGTTCGTGCAGGAATTTCAGGAGCAGGGCAAATTAGTAAGAGGCTCAAATTCCTCCTTCATAACTCTAATCTCGAAGGTCAAAAACCCCTAAAGAATCGAGGAGTACAGGCCAATATCACTCATCGGAGCAATGTATAAGATTCTTGCAAAGCTATTAGCAAATCGCCTCAGGAAAGTACTTGACAGGATCATAGGGGAGCAACAGATGGCGTTTATAGAAGGCAGACAGCTGATGGACGGAGTGGTGATTGCAAATGAGGTAATAGACGAAGCGAAAAGGAGGGGAATAAAAATCTTTTTATTCAAAGTTGACTTTAAAAAAGCTTATGACAAGGTGAGCTGGGATTTTGTTGATTATATGCTAATGAGGACGGGATTCACAGTTAAGTGGAGAAAGTGGATAAGGGAATGCTTGCAATTGAGTATGATCTCCATCCTTGTGAATGGAAGCCCCACAAAGCAATTCTCGGTCAGCAAAGGAATAAGACAAGGCGACCCCCTTTCGCCTTTTCTATTCTTACTAGTGGCAAAAGGTTTGAATGGGCTAATGCAATCTGTAGTGGAGAAAAACTTGTTCAAAGGGGTGAGGATCGGTAACGGAAACATAGCAGTATCTCATCTCCAGTTCGCCGATGATACATTATTCTTAGGGGAGGCTTCGGAGGAAAACATACAAGTAGTCAAATGCATTTTGAGGACTTTCGAACTTGCTTCGAGGTTGAAAATCAACTTTGGAAAAAGTCAGATAATGGAGATTGGAACCGAGGAGGGCTGGAAGGAGAGAATGGCTTGTAGACTGTGCTGCAAAGAAGGAGATCTACCATTCAAGTATCTGGGAATACCAGTAGGAGGGAATCACAGAAAGTTAGCATTGTGGAAGCCACTGTTGGAGTCTTTTAAGAAGAAATTAGCTAGCTGGAAAGGCCAAAACTTATCCCTAGGAGGTCGGATCACGCTCTTAAACTTTGTGTTGTCCAGTTTACCTGTGTATCTAATGTCGGCCTACAAAATCCCCAAAGGTACTCTCTATTCCTTAGATAAAATACGTAGGAATTTTTTATGGGGAGGATTGGGGGAGGAGAAGAAAATTAAATGGGTTAGCTGGGAGAGGGTGTGTAGGAAGAAGGAGTGTGGAGGCCTGGGAGTGAAGGACCTAAGGAAGTTTAACCTGGCGTTGATGGGAAAATGGTGGGGACGGTTAGCGAAAGGGGAAGAGGGGCTTTGGGGGAAAGTTATAAGGGGAAAATATGGAGGTAACGGGGGACAGTGGATGGACTGGGTGAGAGATGGAAGAAGAGTAGGATCACTTTGGTGGAGAGACCTTCAAAGTCTCAATGTGGGGGAGGACGGGAATGAGGGATGGTTAACAGAGGGATTTAGAATGAAGATAGGTGAAGGGAAAGGTGTGAGTTTTTGGTGGGATGAATGGTGTGGAGAGAACTGCCTAGCGAACATATATCCTAGATTGTATGTATTGTCAACAGGGAAGGAAAAAGATTGTCAACAAATGGGAGAGGATCATAACGGCACATGGAAGTGGAACATGACATGGAGAAGGGCCCTGTTTCAGTGGGAGGAGGAGGCTGAAAAGGAACTGCAGAAGACAATCAAAAAGGTCAAAATCTCCCCAGGTTGTGCAGATAGATGGGAGTGGATCCACAGTGCAGATGGACAATACTCAATGACAACAGCTTATGGAGTACTAACAAAACAAAGGAAGGAAAAGGATGAGGAGAAAATATTCAAGAGAGTATGGAACCCAACCATCCCAACAAAAGTAGCTGCATTCAACTGGAGGGTATTAATTGATAGAATCCCAACTAGGACTAATTGGTTCAATCGGGGAATCATAAAAGAATTGGAAGAAAGGAAATGCGCTTTGTGTATGGAAGAGGAGGAAGATTCAAGCCATTTTTTCTTGAACTGCAGTGTAGCTAAGTGGCTGTGGAAAGCTTGTACAAAGTGGTGGGGAGTCAAAATAGTCTTACAAAAAGAATGCTGGCCAACATTTCAACACTTGGGAGCGTGGACAAAAAAGCCATACAAAAAGGAAGGCTGGGACTATATATGGAACGCAATGTTATGGACTGTGTGCTTGGCACGCAACAAAAAGATTTTCGACAATGCAGAGGTAAACTTGATTAAGCTTTTTGAACTTATTCAATTAAGGTCTTTTGCTTGGATCAAAGCTAGGAAACTTCAATCTATCAGACTGGTTAATTAACCTTGCTTCTTGCCTTCATAAAGCATAGTAGGATATGTTTGAAAGAGGGTAGTAACACGGAAGGGATTGTAATTTGTTCTTGGAAATGGGTTAGAGTACCCCTTGTACTCAAGTTATCAATATAATTCTCTTGGCTGTTCAAAAATAAAAAAGACACAATATATTACCGAGGAAGACTCTGCAATCCCCACCAACTTAATTTGTTAACACATTACACATATTATTTCAAATTCAAAGCCATAAAAACTCTCTTAATTTCAATTCAAAATGTATTTTGAGTAATAATCTCCACAAAGCTCAAAAATTGCTTCGTTTTAGCCAGATTAGCACTTATTTAAGCAATCAATGCAAAGCTTTCCATCAACATACGCAGATCATGGAGCGGTTCACCTATAGAAGCGATGGAAGCTGCAGGAAATTAATCTATACTTCCAGTTGGTTTGTGCTATCTCAATGGTGAAGGCCAGGTTGTATTAATTGGGTTTTTTTGACTGATCATTGCTGAATTATTTGTACAAATTTGAGTGCCCTTGTACTTACTCCATACTAAAAATTTTGTTTTGTTGGTTAATAAAAAAAATGCCCAGATCAATCATGACATGAATAAAAATAAAAATATCAATGATGATCTGTTCTCATCTTTACTGTCTTTTTATTTTTTTAAAGGTTACTTTTCATGTCATATCCATAAGTTATATATCAGTAAATCAAAACAAAGTGATATTCATATATACATATATATATAT